AAAGCTAAAACTAAAGAAAACTCTCTTCCGCATCCCCCGTCGCTCCTTTCCCTGCCCTCAACAGGTCGCCCTGGATCCGCCTATGAGTAAGATGAAATTAATCAAGGGGACCACTAAAAGACTACTGATGGCAACACCGTTTTAAAACAATTTTAAAGTCGAAAGTGAACTTACACGAGCCGCCTCCACACTCACACTTTCATCCGAACCATCGCTTAGATATACTGTATCCGAAGAGGAAAGAGTCGAAGAGTGCGAGGTGCTCTCGAGAGCTTTTCTCGTACTGCTGTCTTGTTTTGAAAACATCTGTTCTGGCACGTTTGACACGTTGCATCTGGAAACAAATGTTTCTGCTGAGAACAACTGGATTCTTCACTAACTCGATATTGCTCACTAATTCCCCATAAAATCAGTACTGGAAAATTCACCATAAAATTAATACGGAAATAACTACAGTTTTCACTCAATCTGTGCACAATAATGAAAGATTAAAATCCCAGCAAAGCAAATAGCACTTTTGGCTACAAATCAGTGAAAAACTTACTTAAAAAACCGACGCACCAAAGCCAAAATTTGCTGTACTGATTGGGCATCTTCTGTTTCCTCATCCTGTTCATGGATTTGGACGCCTTCTGCCTGAGAATCATGCTGTTGCACTATCTGCCCCTCACACTGCAGAACTTGACCGCCTTCTATTTGTGAGTTACCTTCTCGAACTGGAATACCTTCTGTCAAAACATCGCCCTTTCGGGTTTGATCGTTTCCGGCATGGCCGTCGACATTCGCTTGAATTTGCATGTTTCGCGCATGGCCGTCACTCTTTTGGATTTGGGAGCTTTCTGCCTGGTTGTTGCCTTTTCGTCGGATTCGATAAGCCTGGCCGTCGCCTTTCTGAAAACTTTCTGTATGGCCGTCATGTTGTTGGAATTGGGTGTTTTTTGTCCGTACGTCATACTGCTGAAATCGGGCACTGTCTGAATGGCTGTCACTTTCTTGAATCCGAATGCTCTTTTGCACGTCTTCTGAATGGCTTCCACCAGCCTGGATCTGCATGCTTTCCGTAAGGTCGTCATTATTCTGGGTCTGAAAGTCTTCTGACTGGTTGCTACCTTTTCGAATTCGGATTCGATATGCCTGGTTGTCGCCTCTCTGAACTCGGACACCTTCCATCTGGCCGTCATGTCGCTGGAGGCGGAGGTTTTCTGTCCGGCCTTCACACTGCTGCATTCGGGCGCTTGCTGCGCCGCCGCCACCGCCGTCATCTTCCTGCATTCGAATGCATTCCGCTCGACCATCAGCGCCTCGAATTCGAGCAGCGCATTCTGCCTGGTGCATGTCGCCTTTCTGGTTTCGGACGCATTCCGAAGAACTGTTACCTTTCTGAATTCGGGCGGCAGTTTCCGTGTGAGTGTGGGCGAATCGAGCTTGGGGCGGCAATTCGCCAGCGATACCTGTCGTATGCACGGAGAGCAGGGACTGTGGTTGTTCACTGACACGGCTTTGGCTTGGCAAATTTGGCGAATTCGAAAAAACAAAAGCAGCTGCAGCAGCGGCAGCAGGAGCAACTGGTGCAGTTGCTACGCATCGGCTTCTTGATGCAAGAATATTCTGCAAAGTTATAAACCATTATGTATTTTCGTTCAAATATGCTGACTACACACATGAATATGTACATATCCATACACATATATAATATATATGGCCAGTGAATGATTGCTGTCAGTGTGCTTGCTACGCTCGGACTACTTTCGAAAATGCCTCGGTTTTCCATAGAAAGGAACGAATGTGGAAGGGGTATAAGAAAATAGGCATGTTACGGTACCTAACACAAAGCAAAGAATGTATACAGTATGTGTTCAATAAGAATATCAATACTGCCCGTTATTAAAAT